GGGGTCTGATTCATGAATGCTTGGCATTGGCAATGCTACACATGGTAAATGGCACATTACCTCCTCATCTAAGTCCTATCCATAATGCGTCTCCCCTAGAACTACCTGTAATGTTTCACACCTCAGAACAGTTTGAAAGAAGTGCCATTTTATAAAACGGAAATAGTAATAAAAAAACCCAGAAAACACCCTCAAGTTACTATTATAGTAAAATGTGTATAGATGAGTGACCATATTTTATGGGGGAGGGGGGAATAAAACCCTAAAGGGGCAAAGTGTTGAAAAGTAAACTGATCTTGAAAAAGGAAAAAAAATAAAAACAACAAAACACAAACACCTCCCTATCTCTCCTTCCTTTTACGCTTTCCCTCACACCCCATCCCTTTTCCAGATGAGAAGGCTTTTCCCTCCACAGTAACTAAAATACAGTTTTGCTTACATTGCATTTTAAAACTGAATTGGGAACGAGGGGCTGGCATTGTTACAATGTCAGCAATGTGAAGACAAATCATGTGATCAATTCTGAGAATATAAACCTGGCTGATATTTAGAGGGGAAGAAAAAGAGGAGAGATTGGGAACAAGGAAGGCATGATATGAGTTTAAAAAAATTAGATTAACATTTTTAAAAGCACTTTCCCTTTTCAGCACTTTTGCACTTTTTTCTGTGTGTGTGTATATTGTGAAGTGTTATTTTGCTTTGTTATTTTGCTGTAGCTGAAGGGAGAGGGAAGATTTGGAAGTGTCTTTATTTTGAAAATGCTGAGCAGTGGAGTCAATTAAAGCAGAGGTATCACAGAACTCAGAGTAAAGATTTGCAATTTCACAGGCAGTGTTATTCAGAAATAATTAGATTATTATGCAAACCTCTGCCTCTTGATTGGTTAACTGTTTGGATTAATCAACCAATCAGTGCACAGGGATCAGGCCCGCTGGCAGCAATTCCGGGCCCCAGAGCAGAACAGTCAATTGGCGCGGAGCTGGACCAAGTATGGCGGCTGTGCACACATGCACGCATAAGCCTTGCCCGTGGTCCGCCTGACATTTGTGCGGTGCTGCGCCAGCGAGCTGTTGCTGGCTGTGCTGTTGGTGCCCAGCAAACTGCCAGTCGCATGCTGGGCGTGCTCTTCCAGCATGGCCAGGGCTTCCACATGCCCACCAGGCTGCCTTCGCCGCCACCAGTACCACCCCGTGCGCACACTTAGGAGCTCTGCAGCGCGCCCGGGGCTCCTGGCCACTGCCACAGCTACCATGGCAGCGGCTGGGGCCCCTGGGCCATTTTAAATCACCCGGACCCCTGGGCAATTTCCCCCTTTGCCCCCCCCATCACCAGGCCTCACAGGGATCGACATATTTTACCATTATTTAAAAATAAATATACAGTGGTAGTGCAAATCAGACCTATAACCAGAATGCAGAGGATGGAATAACAGAGAAAATACAGTTACGCATCATTAACTGTACAGCATTCCTCATTCTCACTGAGACAATTCTATTTCAATAGAATATTAAAGTGTGAGATTTTGTTTTGACTATTGAGTCTTCTTTATACCTGTGGCAAAAATAAAAAGTTTTAAAAAATAAAAATTGCAGCCAACATGTTCCATACCATAGAGTTTATCTTCCAGTTCCTTTTCTAGAGTAGGAAGCACTGATCCTTGTAGCATATACAGATTAAATACAGTGGCTTTAAATACCTATAGACATTTTAGCTAAATTTTAAGTGTGAATGAATTCCCCCCTGAAAGTTTGCTCTATGACCATTATTTACCTATGACACCTTTATCAATATGATAAACAGGAGCAGTATATAGATGTATTAAATCATAAAGGGCTAAATTAGGCTGCCCACTCTACCCTCAAGTGATTTACACTGTTTTGTATAGAAAGGAAAATAATTCCACATTATATTTTCTCTGCACAAATATAATATTTTCTTCTCTTGCTGGGAAGAGACGACTTCAAAGAGATTTTGGTTTACTCAGGAGGCCTGTGAATTAATTCTCCCTATTAACAATCCATCTCAACTCCCGGGAGCAATTTGCAAAGGGGAGTTAGCCACTGACTACTAGTTAAGAGGAGTTTCACTTTACATCTTCCAAATTGACTTTGGAATCTCTGTGAACACATTGTGGTACCTAGTTTTGTGTCACTCTTCAAAGTCCTCTTTACATAGGCATAGTCAGGTTTGATATTTATGGGTCATATACAAGTTTTCTTGTCCTTGAATAATTAGATACTGTACTACCACTTACATCACATTATTGATACTAATCAATATCAGTTACAGATTGCCTTTAGAATCACTGTAACCTCATCCAGAACATTTTAGACACTAGTCACTTCATATGATTCAAAATTATTTCTATTTCCGTCATGCTGTTTAGTAGTCAGGTTCCATCCTCCCTTTAAATAACAGTTACACCCTTGTGGAAGAAACCATCCATATGTCACTGAATTACTCTTTAAAATATAGTCATATCACACATTTCTCATTTCTTGACAATATTGTTCCAACTGTAGTGGCTGTGTCTTCAATCTTATCTTTGGAACCACAATTTATATGATCAATGCCAGTCTGGATTCAGGACAAGTCATAGCACTGAGACCATTTAGAGAAGGCTTGTAATGATTTCTTTCTTTTTGTGGACTCGTGTTCAAAATCTCTTCTTGTTCTTTAGTATTGACTTTTTTTGAAATTGCAGATCCTGGGACCCTTCTAGGACATTTGAAATATATACTAAAT